CATCACCAAGGAAAGTAACTTGGGGTGGAGAAGGCTGATTTGACTCACATATCCTTACCATTTACTCTAACACGAATTCTAGTTGCTCTGAATAATAAAAATCCAGAGTCAGATATAGGGGTTAATGCTGAGGATCAGGGAAGTAAGGGGCCAAGCCCTAGAGAGTTCTTATGCTCAGAAAGGAAGGGGGATCCTGTCCTGCATTACAGAATGCATCTGTCTCCACCAAGCCTCAGACTGCAGTGAGCTCTTGTCTCTTCCCTCCTTATATTTCTCTCTCTGCCCAGCCACATCCCTTCCCATCTCCACCTCCCTAGTGCTGGATTTAAAGGCATGAAACAACCAAGTAATGGATTTAAGGGCATGGGACTCCCAAGTAATGAGATTAAAGGTGTGAGCCATCTCTTTCTGACCTCTGGTGGCTCTGAACTCTGATCTTCAGGCAATCTTTATTTTTTTAAAACACAAAACACTCACTATAATTGACCATCATTGAAGGGCAGTCAATGGTCAGGAACACAACCAGGGCAAGGACCCTGAGGTAGGAGACCTGCTGAGGTAGTGAGTGCTGCTGACAGTCTTGTTTTCACTGACTGACAAGCCAGCTTCCTCTGCCTCCCAGGGCATCCTGCCCAGTGTTCTCACAACCCCCAGTGGGCTAAGTCTAACTGTTACAGCTCAGATGGAAAGGTATCCTGGCAGTCAGGATCCCAGCACAACCCAGATGCCACTGGGACTCCTAGGCCTCTGACTGTCGTCCTTCTTTCCCTCCCTCCAGGACCTGCCCTGTGCCCTCTCAGCTGGTCCTGCTCTGGCCCCTGCAGCCTCTCTCATCCTCTGGACTCCACCGCAGAGGCCCTTGGAGGGAGGGCCGGACTTTTAGGTGCCATGCAGACCCAGCCCACCTGCTGCTGTGGGTTCCTTGTGGTCCCCTGGTACAGAAGGGTTGGGAAAGGTGCAAGGCAGTGCTAGCTGTCCTCAGGGACCTGGTCACTTTACAACAGACTTTATGGAATTGCTTGGTAGGTTTGAATTTACAGAGAAAGCAAATGCTCCAAAGGGAGGGAGAGGACCCGTTTTAATGGAGTCAATTGCAAAAGCTGAAACTGCCCCCTGGAACTTCCAGAATCAGGACTCCTGTGTGTCCCCCTCTCTGGGTGACAGGGCTATCATTGTAGGTGAATACTCTGGCCTTTGGTAAACAGAGTACTTGGTTCTTGGTCTGCTTACAACCTATTTTTTTCCACAAATAAAAATGCAAATGTCAGCCGGGCGGTGGTGGCGCACGCCTTTAATCCCAGCACTCGGGAGGCAGAGGCAGGCGGATCTCTGTGAGTTCGAGGCCAGCCTGGTCTACAAGAGCTAGTTCCAGGACAGGAACCAAAAGCTACGGAGAAACCCTGACTCGAAAAATCAAAAAAAAAAAAAAAATGCAAATGTCTTCACAGTTTTATTTTAGATGACTGTGATGAAATAAGGAACAACGAAGGTTTAGAAATTACACAATTTTGGCAGAAGAAATAACACACTACTAAATAAAGAGTGGTTCACAAGATAACGTAAGGAGAACATCAAAGTATTTCTGAAAACTAATGAAAGCACAATGCAAAATAACCTCTGGGGTGTACTAATCACAGTCCTAAAAGGGAAACTTATAAGTGCTTACATTAGAAAAAAATAGTCTGGTGGTGGTGGAGCATGCCTTTAGTCCCAACCTCCAGGAGTTTGAGGCCAGCCTGGTTACAAGGGCTAGTTCCAGAACAGGCTCCAAAGCTACAGAGAAACCCTGTCTCGAAAAATAAAAAGAACCAGGAGAAAGGCAGGTTGTAGCAGAGTTCAGCTATTTAACACTAAAGCTCCTGTTTGTTCAGCTAGCCTAAAATGGGAAATGGGAGGGAATCAGATATAAGACAAGAATAGCGATTCCTAAATGGTGACCGCACTGACGTCACTGAGCAGGAAGCTGTGAACACTCACTGTGTAATGGACAGCTGACCGTAGAATTCAATTACACTGGTCTTATATGGGAACTCCAGCTACACTGGAGTCATTGCCTAGCAGATGGCATACTTAGAGCCCCGTGGCTTGAAACCCAATGTGTTTGATCTGACCTTTTATAATATAGTATTCTCAGATTAGTTATGTTGGGGGAAGATGGTAACTAAGTTAGCATCATCTATGATGTGTGTCAAATTAAGCATTATTACTTTTTGTATTCAAAACTACTGTTAAGAATAACCATTCACTGCTTACATATGCATGGTGAACTGTCATAATTTTCTAGGTAAATGATTAGTGATTTTTTTAATGACTGAACAATGATAATGGACATTTCACCATATACGAAAGCTACACCTGAAAATTGTGCTAAGAAAAGGAAATAAAGTCGGTATGTACAGGTAAGAGGCTCTCTCCGAACATGCCAATGAAAGGGAACACATGGTACTGTTGGGCTGTCCAATGGGAATAAACCATTTATTCTTCTACCTCTCCATGGGGGTGGGGGAGGGGCAGCGGACAGGAAGGGACAAAGAGAAATCAGAAGAACTATCCAGAGCTTCCAGTGCCGATGTCCACCATGCAGCAGATGTATCAGATCACGTTTTTCTGTCTTGCTCAATCTCCACAACAAGCAGACAAATGTGTGGAGGCGAGAATGCCGGCCTTTAAGAGGATTACTGGTTGCCCAAGTCGAGCGGGACAAGAGATGGCCAGGCCCAGCTCGGTCCAAAACCTACCCTGATTTCCAGATGCTATAGTACAAATCTATCCGTGTTTCTCTTTTCCTTGCTTTCTACAGAGTCACGCCAGTATGGTCTGGGCCTGACGACGACAACACGGTGCAGACATTTATTGAGTCCACACTGCCTGTCACACAAGATCACTAAATGCCAACAAACAAGTTGAAAACTGAGACTCAGAAAAGTTAAGGGACCTATCCAAGGTCACTGAGCTCGGACTGACAATTCCAGGAACCCCATCTGACACACAGACCACATTCCCTGCAAAAACTCTCAATCTGTTGCCTTTACCTCCTCAAAACCTCCTTCAGTCATCAGAATGACCGAAGTTCACTGCCTGTGAGTGTGAAGAAAAGCAGAGGAGAACAATACGTGTTTGGCAGTGCTGTTTCTAATAAACACCCTGGTTTTGGTGCACACCCAACATTAAAATCACTTAAAAATGCCAACAATTTCTTCCACAATATACCACAGTGTGACTCTCTTCTGAGTCACGGATCCTCTTTCAATACATGACATGACGTGTTTCCTTTCCTGAGCTGTTATTACCTGAAGCCTGCATGTAATCGCCACATAATCATAGAAGGCATTTGTGAGAAGAGTTCGAGTCAAAAGGAGCTTTCCCATCACTAAATCTCAATAATCTAGGAAGCCCAACTAACTATAATACCCATTTGCCAATATCGCAGTTACCCCAAATTTTAATGATTGGCCATCAAACCCTACAATTATTTCGACATACAGAATTTTTCTACTAATGCCCTTGGTTTCTTACTGAGTCTCAACTGCAATGGATTATTTAACATAAAACTGGAGGGGCTCCAACAGAATCATTAGCATTAGTAAATATCTAGTTGATGCACTTCAGAACAGGCCCTAAAAGACTCCAGAACCCACATGGGTGGTGATTTGGGCCCAGCACAGAAACATCCTTGTGATTAATGCACAGGACCCCACACCACACTCTCCACTCCTCTGGGCTTCGAACTTCATTTCAGTGGAAGACTCCACATTGGAATGCCTAATCCAGAAGAGTGAGTCTGTGTGCATTCAAACACACAATATGGAAAGGCTGGATTAATCTGGCTTCTGCACATAACTTTGAGTGTTCTCAGAAATAATATTAGCAAATTGGACAGAAATAATGATGATGATAATAATAATTATTAACAATAAAAACTTGACTAAATGTTTACTTTCACTTGAAGACAGTTTGCATGCATGGACAGACAGCTGACATTCACTGGCACCTCGGGGTTTTAAGGAATTAGCTTGTTTATGATTAACTAACACTTTCATGAACATGATCACAGCGAACCAACGGCCAGCAGGTACGCTTGGACACTCTGATAGGTTTGTCTGAGGCTCTGTGGGAATCCCTTGCTTGGCACAGTTACCTGTGTCAAGGAAGTTGTGACAGTTTGGGAAGCAGCTACACCTCCAGGTTAAGAGGCACACTTCCTGCCAGTAATCCTCAAGATTTAACAAAGCCATTCCACATGACACTGTTGTCATCTTGCTAGAGATAGATCCCTAGAACACGGATCTATCTTTTCAAGTATCCTAAACATTCCCTGATCTTGTTGTTTGTCTGTTCTTTGTTAAGTCAGTTGCTCTTTCTCAAAGACAATACTCTGAACTGCACTACTGCAGCAGTTCCGGAGACTGATTCGTAGAGTCCCCACAACTTCATAACTCACATTTCTCTCCAGCAGCTGGAAGGTTCAGCGTCCTAAGAACTGAACACCCAAACCTCCATTTATAGGACCCGAAGTACTCAAGGTATTGAACAAAAGGTCTCAAGGTATCTGTCCCACTTCCTTTAGGTTGCCTACGTTAACATCAGGCACACATCAAGGTTTCGGCGATTCTCAAAGCTAAATTACTAGTAAAACACCTAATACCGAAGTGCTTTAAAAATAACAAGTAACGTGGTGGCCGCAGGACGCCCGATGGCGTTGAGGGCTGGGTGTCCCCTCTCGGTCCACTGCGGGTGCGAAAGATACTAGTGGCTGAGAGGAGGAACCCAAATTAAAGGCTTGGGACAGTCCACAAATGAAGCCCAGATCCTGGGGAAGAGGGGCGACTCTCCGAGAGATCTCCCCCTCCAACCCTGGTCCACAGCTCGCCCAAGGTGGCAGCTGCCTGGCAGGTGTTGGGAGCAAGGAGCACGGGTGGCAGCACGGAGCATGGAGCGAGCCCGGGGACAGCCGGCAGCGCACTGGGCCGGGGTGGTGGGGGACAGAGGAGCACACTCACCGATGCTGCTGAAACTCTCTGACAAAGTTCTTCATCCTGCAGATCTCGCTTGGCTGTGGCTCCAAGAGGTCCCACATCTGGGGTGCGCGGGGCCCAGGCAACTTCGTGAAACTGGTCCAGCGCGCAGCGCAGACAAGGCGAGGGCGACAGGCCTCCTTGAGGGCTGCGGGCGACAGGCCTGGGTGGAGGCTGGGAGCATGGGGGCGTCTTAGGTGGTGCCCGGGGCGGCCCCCATCCACGCCGCCCCCGGGGGGGGGGGGGGGGGCTGCGCCACGCCGCTGCCTCCGCCTCATTTGCTCTCCTTTGTAACAGAGGTGGCGCCCGACGGAGGAGGCACGGGAGACCCGCGCCCAAGTTCCCAGCCCGAGGCGCTATGCAACCCCAGAGCTGCGACTCCTCTGGCCCAAGGCCTGGCGCGCTTGGGACCCAGGCGCGACCCCTGCTGCCATTCCAACTCCTAGGCCTCAGCTGCCCTCTCACTCTCCCTTGACTTGTTCTTTAAAATATTTAACTTACTCGCTTTTCCCTTTGTAGACTGCTGCATAAGGTCCTTCTCCTAGTTTCTCCAGTTTTTCATAGGAATCAGCTTTTCCAAACTTGGGTTGTTGGCTAAACACTAAAGAGCGGCAAAACAAAACAGATTGTTTCAGTACCAATTTGCTGACAATGAGTAGGTAACATTTTCTGATATCAGAATACTTTTAAAACAAGGCAATAAACAATCATTGTACAAATTCAGAATATACAAACACACAGAGAATTATATTCACCCATAATCTAACCAAGGTAGACCTGTAAATATTTTGATATAGCATCCATCACCCAAGGCTATCTTGCTGGATATTGTTTGTTAATAGAGATGTCGTCACATTCAATGTACATGCTTTATGACCTGTGTTCTCACATTCAATGTGTTATGAACATTTTCCATATTATGGCACAATATTCTAAATTATAATTAATAAAATAGTATATGCAAGTCAAACATACTCTGCCCCGTGTTTTTATACATCCCATTGATGTAGAATAATTGTTACCTTGTTTCACTATTTGAGAAGGGACCAAAAGAAGAAAATTTTGTGATACATTAAAGCTGTACAAAAATTACATTTGACTACCCACAAGGTTTTATTAGAATGGTCATCTTATCTATGACTTTCTAGTTATAACAAAACTGTAGTTACCACATGTATTATACAGCTGCTGATGCTGGGAATACTATGTTACTCTATAGCAAATCATGACTGTATAATACTTAGTCAGAAAAATACTCCTCCAACATATTTCATCAATAAATCACATAAATAACATATACTATTTAGAAATAACTAATCATCCTAACCTTGCAATCTCACAGGTGATAAAATTGTTAAGGACTGACCAATGAAATCGAGGGCTGTCTGCACTGCAAAGGGGACGAGCATCAGAGTGGGAGAAAATCTTTGCAACTGGGTATGTGGTAGAGGATTAACATAGGCAATAAAAGAAGGTCCCAAAGAATTAAACATGAAAACCCATCTAATCAATAAATAGGTGAATAGAACTGTTCTCAAAGGTAGAACTTCAGACAGCCAATATGTGGAAACTGTTCAACACCCTTAGCCGTCAAGAAAATGCAAATCAAACAACACTGTGATGCCATCTCACCCAGTAAGACCGGTTGTCACCAGGAAAACGGCAAAAATGTTAGAGAAGTTTCCTGCATTTTTACACTGGTGAGAGTGTAACCTGGTGGTTTTGCTATGGAAGGGAGGCACTCACAATCCACAAGATGAGCAGCAGATTAATTTGATGAGAATATGGTTCATACACACAATGGAGTTTTATTCAGCCATAAAGAAGGTAAAATATAGCACCTTCAGGAAAACTAATAGAGATTATCATTAACATGATAAATCTGATGTAAAAACAAAAATGATAACATAAGCAACACAAGTCAGACTCAGAAATACATGAACCATATTTTCTGTCATATATGGACACATATTTATGTGTGTGTGAGCCCATATGTAGGACACATACAGATATGAAATCAGAGAGACTATGATGAGGAAGGAAAGGGAATAAATGGGGGAGGGCAAAGAGAGAAAGAAGAAAACACAATACCCCGTATTTCCCCTCATATGCAGAATCTAGACTTGGTCACACACACGTGAAAGCAGAGGAGAGACTACTTACAGAGAGAAAGTTGTACACTGAGGTTGCAGGGGAGAAGAGCAGGGAGGGCAAATACAGAAAGTACAATGATACACATGAATGACAGGTCACAAAGAAGCCCATGACTTGCATTCCAACTGTAGCAATTAATTAAAAATGAAAATACTAAATGTGTTCTCTTGTCCCCAGCCCACACCAAATGCAACACAGTGACTAACGATACATTCTTCAAAACTAACAGTTCATGATCTTCGAAAAAAAAATTATCTAACCAGACATTTTGAGGAATCTTGAATGGTATAATGCAATTGGGAGTAAAATTTCAGAGAAATGACCCTAAACCCATGAGAAAACTATTAGATTAAAATAGCAGAAACCTTTACGTATACATGAGAAAGATAAGGGGAGACTTAATTTTATAATAACAGAAAGGACAGATGAGAATGAGATCACTGAGTTAGAAGGGCCAAGCAAAGACTCGGCCAACATCTACAGAAACGACAATGTACAATTACAAACGGCCAACAAATATTTAAAACTGCATTCAGCATCCCTAGTCATCAGAAAAATGCAATTAAACTTAAGGGTATAAACATGGCTTTTTTTCTTAACAGTTTTATTTTAATGAAAATATAAGTACATCATGGCTTTTTGATGCAATCAACAGAAGCAAGTGAACGAAATAGAATAAGCTGGCAGGTTTCTCAAATAAAAACATGAGTACAAATCCTAAAGTCACAATTCACAAAAGATGAAACCATGAAAGAGAAGCATGAAGTTTAATGGGGAGAGGAACTAAAACTCTTGGAACAGCGGTACCAGTGAAAAGGTAAAGATGACTTTGAAGTTACTGTATGATCATTATTTAACCAGCATAAAAAACATTTAGTGAGTATTGAATAAGGGAAAAAGATATAGTTGAAATAGGAATAAACTCGGGTTTGAACAAAATTCTCACCAGACACTTCAAGGAGCGACTGCATCTACATAGAAAAGTTAATCAGAGATAACAATGGCTGCAAAATGGACAGGAATATTTTATAAAGTTAATAAAATGATTTGACTGGATGTGGTTAGCCCCCAGAGACAGACATGGGGGAATCTCTGTAAGTTTGAGGCCAGCCTAGTCTACATTGTAAATTCCAGGTCAGAGTTATGTAGAGAATCTGCTTTAAATTAAAAACAGATGCAACGATTTGTATCCCCAGTACTACAGTAGTTAGTGTGTCCAATGAGAGATATGCAGACATTGCAAATTTTATCACCTGAAGCAAAAAAAATCAAGGCATTAACTTCCACGGTACTTCAACATAAGGCTTGGCTGGACCAGTGCAAGTAGTACAAGAAGGCAAAAGAAAATCACGTTGAGAATTCTTAAATCAATTAGAAACAGAGAGTAGACACTAAATAACTCCAAAGTCACAAATTTTAGTATTTTCCCTACATTTTAAAAAGTATTTGCTATATCTACACAAATAAGATGTATACATCTTAAGTAAATTGAGGAATGAAGGGGAAATGCAAGAAAGGAAGAGGTAAGGAAAGGGGAATTAGACAAGGGATTCTCAAAAAATACACTAAGTAAATCATCATCAAATAAGGATAAATTTAAGCCCAACTATATCAAAGATTACAATAAACATAAGTGAACCACCTTTGGCAAATAAAAGTTCACAGATTTGTGATGTAGGGGATCAACAATGTGCTACTAAGAAGATTCAAAAGCAGAATAAAGAGTATATCTGAACATAAAGAAGGGGGAACCCTACCATTTGGAATTGAGTTTTGTACAGCATAAGGTGTAGGGACTGAGTTTCATTCTTTCCATGTTAACACCCAGGGTTCTCAGTCCCATTTGGTAATGTTGCTCATCAAGAGATGGACAGGTAAAGAAAATAGAGCATACACACCAAATGGAATTCTATTCAGCTAGACACAAAACTGACATCATAAGATTGGTATGAAAGTCAATGAAACTTGAAATTTTGTACTGAGGTAATAACCCAGGGACAAAAAGACAAACGCTGCATATTCTCTCCCGTGCGTGTCCTAGCTTCCCTCCACTCCTCAGTTCCATGTGTTTAACGTGGAGAACCTCTAGAAAGCAGAAAACTAGAGAGGAGACATTGCACAGGGCAGGGCACCTTAAGGAAGGGGACAGAAGGGACATATATGAGCACGGAAAGGGTGGGAAACTTGGGGTGCACAGGTTCAAACAGAAGGTGGGGGAAGAGATAGTCAAAACAAGGGACGCATGACTCACGCTGAACTCTCTCAGGTTGGCCTTGAGGAGGAGCAGCAGGCCCTTGCTCTCCTGGGTCTTGGTCTCAGTTTCCCTCAGGATCTCCTCTGCTGCCTGCAGTTCTTCCTTGTGGTTTGAAAGGAGGCCACTGGCTGCCTCCTTCAATGCCTTCAGCTTTTCCTGGGGCTTCTGGAACCTCTTCTGAATTCGTGACAGTAACTCTTTAGCAGCCCTGATAAACAGAAATGGTCCACTTAGGAAGTAAAACTTGGGTCTTGAAACCCTAATAGGAGACTTTCAAATGATCATAGTTCCTTCTAGGAATGTAGAGTGACTTACTTCTTGTTTCGTTTTTATTTATTTATTTATTTATTTATTATTTAGACAGGTCTTGGCTATACTACTTAGGCTGGTCTTTAACTCAAAAAAATTCTCCTGCCTCAGCCTCCCTCATTGTTATGATTAAAAGTCTAAATGACCAAGCTTAGCATGGATCTTGATTGCTGAAGACTAGAAGTAATTTTTTTTCTTTCTTTATATGTTTTGTGTCCATGTGTGTGTGATGAGGGAAGAGACATATAAGTGCCATGTCAAATATGCAGAGTTCAGAGGACATTAAGGTCTGGCCCTTACTATTCTTGCATGGATGCCCGCATGCCAGAAGAGGGCATCAGATCCCACTATAGATGCTTGTGAGCCACCATGTGGAAGAGCAGACAGTTCTCTTAACTGCTGAGCCATCTGAGCCACCATCCAAAGGTCCTGAGTTCAATTCCCAGCAACCACATGGTGACTCACAGTCATCTGTAATGAGATCTGGTGCCCTCTTGAGGAAGAGACCTGGTCAGTCATCCTCATCAACATGGACAAATTCAACAGAACCGCCATATACAGGCTGCCAATACATGCCTCAGCATCGACAGGGCTAGATGATCTCTCACGCACTCCTTCCCACCCTTCCCTGCAGGCTTCCTTTTCCTCGTCTGAACGCACAGCCTTAAAGACTGTCAGCCATAAATGCTGAGAATCCTGGGAGCTGCAGTAAGTCGGTGCCTGAAGATGGCAGTAACTGGCACTGACTGAATGACTGGCATGTGCGCCAAAGCTGATTACCCAGACTGCAGCACGGAGCATGAATTTTATAATAACTATAATTAGTAATATGATGACAAGTCATTCCTGCAACAACCTGTGACATCGGAGGAGGGATTATCTCGGAACACAGCGGGGCTCCATGAACCTCATTCTCTCACTCCAGGCACAGGGGAGCTGCAATTCTCCAATAGTAACGGAAACTCAGCAAAAGTCACAGGGAAAGGAGGAGCCGAGCCTCAGAGTGGCCGAGGCATCATGCCTTCCCACCACTTGAACCTTTACAGTGCCACAGCTCATCTAGAATTGGGCCTGGCTACAAGCTGTCTCAGTATCCCCCTCCAAAGTCCACCCCAGGGTCTCAGTGTGTGCCACTCCTCAGAGAGCAGCGGAGAACACACCCTGGGGGAGTGTTTGCTTATAACAGTCACAGAATGAAAGGAAAAACCTTTCCCAATTCCCTGATACTCATCCCCTCTAACCCTCTCCCATCACCCACAAAGAAGACACCCAAATGACTTTTCCCTGCACTCGACAGACATCCGTTAGAACTGGAGAAAACCAGAGACCAGAAATTTGAGCAATATAGACGACAACACCTCTTCCATACTGATTGATCTATGGTTTCAGTAAAAGGAAGTACTGATACAGCTAAATTATGAAATAAAAATAATTAGCTGGGTGTACTACATGTTTCTGTAATCCAGTAAATAAACATCAAAGTGAAGCAGAACTGTGATGTTTGGGGTCAGCCTGGACCATCGCGCACGGCCCTACACAATCCACGGTGTGGTGTCTTAGCTGTGCACAACTAAAGGTTTAATTCAGTAGATTGAGCAGCAACGTACATCAAGGAGTTGCAATAAAGTGTAAAGTCCAGTGAGATTTGTGGTGTCCCACTGAGTCCGTGGGTGTCACAGCCAGATCAGCAATGAAGACCTAACATAAGATACACACAGGAGAGTCACCTACACACACAGTCGCTCTCCGTCAAGATGTGTCTTGGCCGGCATTCCTCACAGCAGAGTCCCGTGGCTCCTGGCTTGCAAACACATTGCCCAGATGTGTAGTCACAGTCACTGTGGACAGAGCCTTGGGGGTTACAGTCACACTTCTTGCAGCTGCCACCTGCTGCATGAGGGTTGCCATGATAGCCTGTAGAGCACCTACCGAAGCGGGGACAACAGGTATAGACAGGGCAGTCTGCGCCAACCAGGAACACACACACCAGCTCTGCCCAGAGGCCGTCATCCCTTTTACACATGAAATGCAGAGCACACACTGTAGCACGAATGATAAAAACCCGGAGACAGATACTGGGGCTCAACCTGGAGATCAGAAAAGCAAAGCAGCCATCCCGGGGCTCTTATCTCGACCCCGGACTGAAGTGGGTGATCCTGCTCCCACGAATCCTCAGCCAGAGACTGAACTGAGACCTGTCTCCTCTCATTTTATATTCCTCTCTAGTGCTGGGATTAAAGGCTAGCACCACCCTCCCCCAGCCTCTATGGCTAACTAGTATGGCTGCTGGGATTAAAAGTGTGTGCTATCACTGCCTGCCTGTATGGCTGACTAGTATGGCAACGAGCCACCCCAGAGAGTAGCGAAGAAACAAGGACCAGCTACTGAGGACTAGAGTGAGGGAGGCATCCATTGCTGAGGGAGACACAGAAACAAACCCTGCCAGTTTCCCAGTGACAGGAGGAGGCGGTTTCAATGTCTTTGAGACTGCGATGGCGGCAGCCAGTGGCAAGGACCTGCTGGAGGGTCTGCCTGGTTCCTGGCTGTCTTTCAGGTCACGCTGATCACTGAGGTCAGTTGCCACACAAGCAAACATACCAGACACTGCCCAGTTTCCAGGTCACAGACATCACTGTGGTTGTTGCAACTGCAGGGCACACAAGGAGCCAGCAGAGGGCAGGGTCCCCAGCCATCATTTTCTGGGAGCTTCCCTCTGTGGTACCCAGGAGCACAGTCCTAAAGGGAGGCAAAAGGGACAAGAAAGCAGACACTGGCTAAAAGATGAGCAAAGGTAAATGCTCTTCAGCAGAGACAGGTGGCTAAGGAGCTCATGAGAAGGGCAACACCACTATTAGAAAAAAATGCAGATGAAATCCACAGTAAGAGCTGAGCATGGGGACTTAGACATACAATCCAGCTGGGGGTAAACTGAGGCAGAAGGACTCCTGTGAATAGTCTAGGCTACAGAGTAAGTTTCAAGCTAGCCTAGGCAACAGAGTGAGACACTGTCTGGAAACGCTCCTATCAATAAAAAAAAGTGTCCTGCTCCATCACAAAACCCATGTCTCCCATCAAAACAGCGAGCAGAACAGCACTGAGGATTAATGAAAAGGGGATGCTCGTGCACAGCTGGTACGGAGGAAACGCAGTGTGCAGAGTCCTCCAAAGTTAAAGATGACACTAGCCATGCCTAAGAAGGCCACTTCAAGGAGAACGACATGCGGGAACTGGAAGACCCATTCACACTCCCAAATCTTTAGCACATATCTGAAGTTACTTAAATTGGGGAAAGCATTTATTGCAGATGTTCTTCTAACAAGAATTTTTACACCAATATTTTACTATGAGATGCAATGAGTGGGGTTTTTTGCATTTTCTTTTCCTTAATATGAAGAAGCACCCTCTCTAAATGATAGCAATATTGGCAAATCAATTTAAAACAACACTAAAAAGGTGTATTCGGAGCACGTTAAGAATATGACTTCCCCCACCCAGCGCCAGCCTGGGACAGGGAGCTCAGAGGTTCCTTGGCCCCCTATCCTTCTTGGGCTCTCTGCAGGGCCTCTACTCCCGGCATACTGCCTCTTTCTTCCTAGCCCACCCAGCTTCCATCCAGAACCCTCCCCACTTTGGCCCCACCGCCCTCTTTCGGCACATAACATCACCCAGCCCAGCCTGTCTGGGCACTGGATCCGAATCCTCGGGGCACCCAAGCGGGTGGGAGTTCCTTTGCTTCTATGGCCTGCCTGCACCAAGCAGGGTAGGCGCTTTGTTTGCAAGCTGCCCCATCAGCACGGAGGCCTGATCTCTCGGCACCAGGAAAGCCAGCGTTGGGGAGAGCCAGCGTTGGGGAGAGCCAGCGTTGGGGAGAGCCAGCGTTGGGGCACCAGGAGAGCCAGCGTTGGGGAGAGCCAACATTGGGGAGAGCCAACATTGGGTAGGCAAGGAGACCTGATCCAGTAAAAGAAGATCCATAAGGGAGCATTTGGAAGAAGAGATGGGCAGACGCCAAGGCAAGAATTCGCCCAACAAGCTGAAAAGCAACATGAAGCCACTAGAAACCAGCGAACTCACAACAGGAGGACATGAACACCTTAATCAAGAAGAAGTAGAAAAGATTGACTTCATGAAAGTGATTGATGCCAAGCATGTAAAAAACGCCCTTATAGAAATGGATGAGAAATATAACAGAAAGTTTGAAGAATTGAATAAATCAGTGAATTATACCCTAGAAAACCAAGGAAAAACAATCAAACAGATAATGGAAACAGGTCAAGACTTGAAAACTGAAATGGAGGCAAAGAAGAAAACACAAACAGAGGGCCGGCTGGACATGGAAAATTTAAGTAAACAAACAGAGTCTACAGAAACAAGCATAACCAACAGAATACAAGAGTTAGAAGAAAGAATCTCAGAATCTGAAGATACTATAGAGAAAATAAACACACTGATCAAAGAAAACAGCAAGTCCAACAAACTCTCATCACAAAACATTCAGGAAATATGGGACACAATAAAAAGACCAAACCTAAGAATAATAGGGGTAGAAGAAGGAGAAGAAGTGCAGCTCAATGGTCCAGAAAATATATTTAATAAAATTATAGAAGAAAACTTTCCCAACCTAAAGAAAGATATACCTATGAAGGTTCAAGAAGCATACAGAACACCGAATAGGCTGGATCAAAAAAAATAAAAACATCCCCTCGCCATA